GATTCCAGCTTGAGCAAGTGAGTGGGTGATGGTGACGGTGATGGAGACAAGCCAGGGATCCTGGAAGCAGGGCAGGTGCAGGTGGGTGGAGCTAGGGACCTGGGTTTGATCCTAAGGCTACGTCTAGGAAGCGTAAGACCTACAGGTACTGAACCCAGAAGACATAATGAAATTCAGAATAGTAAGTCAGATGATCTGATGAGGATAGGCAAGGGGGCGGTGCAGGGAGAAGAGGGGTCCATTTAACTCTGAGGAGCCATGGCAACAGCAGGACCTGGGGGCAGAGTGGCCAGAGATTCTGGGCTTGAACAGTCAGAATCATGAAGCTGAACGATTATCCATCCTCTTTCAGACCCTGAAGGCATCTGGCCTTGAATCTCCCTCTCCCAGTCAAGGAGCATACCCTGGGCTTAGACTGTGCCCAGATAAAAGTGTTTCCTTCCCCTGAATCCCTTCATTCCTTTGGGCAAAGCCAGATTCTCCTTTCCAAACATGACAGTGCATGTCTATAATTCCAGTACTTAAGGAGCTGAGACAGAAGAATTGCTACAAGTTCTAAGTAGCAACCAGGCAAGCCAGGGCTACACAGTAAGATCCTGTGAACTGAGAGAGTCAGTGAATGAATGAATGAATGAATGAATGCCAAGTTCTTCCAGGTTCAGCTCAGGCAGCCCCTCACCTAAGAGAAGACTTCCCAGCGCATGCTGGCTGTCTTTCTCTTGATAACTGTGGGACTGTGGTCGAATAACCTCAGTTCCCTCATCTATACCATGGAGATGATGATCATCTTTCCCTCCTTGGTAAAAATGAGTGTGCAAAGGGCTTAGCAGAGAAACCATAGGGTAAACACCATGCAAGCTTTACGGTGACTAATGTCCCACCCACATTTGGACAGATAGTCAGACCACCCCCCCCCACCTTTGATGGCCTCCCTTCAGGAGCTATTTTCTTTTTTTGTTTTGTTTTGTTTTTTTCAGAGACAAGGTTTCTCTGTATTGTTTTGGAGGCTGTCCTGGAACTCACTCTGTAGACCAGGCTGGTTTGGAACTCACAGAGATCCGCCTGTCTCTGCCTCCCGAGTGCTGGGATTAAAGGTGTGCGCCACCAACACCCGGCTAGGAGCTATTTTCAAGTCTGTCCCCTCTCTGAAAGCCCAGGCCCTTGTTCAAAACCATTCTTTCCAGACCATGGCAGCAGAAAGCTAACGTGTGGAATCCCACTAAGCTGCCCTACCTCGAGCCAATCTCCCATGCTAGCCCTCCATTGAGATAGTAAAGATGCCACCTGACATAAGGACCTTACAATTTCCAGCTATACTTTCACTTTCTTCTTCGCACTTTATAGTAGATGACATCCAAGTTTAGACATGGGCATGCTTTGCTCGTGTACTGCTGAGTTAGGACTTGAACACAGAGCAGATAGTATCAAAGCTCTACACCTTGCCCTCTGGCTCCCCAGAGCCTGGGAAAACCTGGCCCCAAGGACTGAGCTCAGTCAACAAGGCTGAGATGTAGCTCAGCCCACAGAGAAGGATCTGAAGACACTAGGACTGCCTCCCTCCTGGGAAGAGTCACATAAACAAGGGCTCCCTGGGTACCATCTCGGCTGCTGCTCAAGGGAAGGGCTGAGAGAGGGCAAAAGGTCACTCACAAGGATGCTCCCTTGCGGCCCACAGGCCGTAGCACACATACCTGGAAGTCTGACGCTGCCTCTGCTCCTTAAATCCCATTAGGGGTTGCCACGGCTTCACAATAAGCCTCCATGTCTCTAGTATACTGCTACCCAGGGTTGTGGAGCCTGGCTGTCCCTAGCCTGCCACACACCCCTCCACTCTATCATCAGAATGTTCTCATACCAGCAGGGGCCCTAAACACTGTCCCCTCCCTGTTCACCCTTGGTTCTCCACGACCACTTGGCATCCTCCATGCCTCAACTAAGAGGTCACCCTCTCTAGAAGCCCTTCCTGAACCCCCGAAAGAAGCAACCTGCAGTGAAAGGTCCATGAGCCATTACTTTCAACACATGTCATGTATGTGATCACCTGCTCTAGAGCGTGGGCTCCATGGTTCCCAGGGCTTGCTGTACCGGTGGAACTGAGTAACTGATGTGCCCTCCTGCAGCAGGGGCAAGAGGACCCTCACTCCCTTCCCCCACTCCTCCCCTGCCTCCTTTTGTTTCTTGTGCAATAGTCTTGAATAGTATCTTAGTTTTTTGTTTTGTTTTGTTTTTGAGACAGGATATCATGTAGCCCAGGCTGGCCTCAAACTTGTTATAAGCTCAGGTTAGCCTTGAGCTCCTCTCCTGGTCTACTTACCGTCAGTTGGGATTACAAGGGTATACTATCATATTCAGCTCTTATTCAGCTATCTGGAGTTCAAAATGTGAAAAGCCCAAACTTGCAAGGGCTGAGAATCATCGAACAGAGAAGGTTCCATCTGCCCTAGGCTGGCTGTATATTCCAATACCACACTTAATCCAGCAGTACCTTCTTGTGAGGTGGGCCAGTACGGATGCAAAGCATACCTGGTTTGGGTTTGGGTTTTTGAAATAAGGTCTCATTCTGTAGCTCTGCCTGGCCTGGAACTTGCTATTTAGTCTAGGCTTATAACACCCCGCCTGCCTCTGCCTTCCCAAGTGCAGGGAATACAGGCAGGTTCCACCAAGCCTGGCAATCATTCTTGCTTCCCAGAGCCAGTGAAGGCAAGAGATCCACACCTGTAATAATCACAGGTGGAAGACTTGAACCTTGCTCTGCCTGATGCCCAAGTACCTCTCTGCCACTGACCCTACACCCTTGTGGCTCACAACTAATTCATCTCACCCACAAAGCACATCCCAGACTACAGAGCTCCTATGTCCGGTCACGGACACCTCTGCGGAACACAGCCCCATCATGAAAAGAGGCCAGTGGCCAAGTCATTTGTACCCACTGTGAAAGAAACACCCCCATGCCAGCCAAACACAAATGGGGAGGCACCCCATTATCAGCAAAATGTTGCTGTGGGAGATGCACTCTGTACCCCCAAGTCAGCAGAGTGCTAGCAGGCAGAGCAGCTGCTATGGTCAGCAAAGACTGTGTGACAGGCACTTTCCTACACCCCTGTGCCTGGGCTCGTGACAAGACTGGGGAACACAGAAAAGCCTTCCAAAGTAGGGCTTCTGGGTGGCTGTTGCTTGGGGTGGGGGTAAGGCTTCAGCTGGGGAGTGGGGCAGACTCAGGTGAGAGTTCTCACATGGCACTAATGAAATCAACCACCAGCCTCCCCTGCCCCTCCCCTGGGACCCTCCAGGCTCCAGCTGATGCAATGCCCAGCCTGGTAATTGTTTTCTTCACTCCTTAAAGGGCCAGCTACTACTGCAACTATGGACAGACATCACCCAGACTCCTGACAGCCCCCACAGAGCTCAGCACCTGCTCAGGGAGAGGAGGGGCCCAGAGAGCCAGCAGCGTCAGGCCTGGGCCAAAAAGAGTACAATGTGTAGAGACTAGGAGTGTCGAGGAGAGCAGTTAAGACAGTGACACTGACCACATCCCCTGGAGGAGGGAACAAGGTCCCTGCTGAGTCCACAGCTCCTGGCTTCAGCACACCTGCCCCAGCAAGTACTTGGCACAGTGTTGATTATAGTTCAGTATTTATGCCCTGAGCCAATGAGGCGTCTATAGACACAGGGATAAGCTGCTCAAACCAACCTCCGTATTTACTCCTCCTAAGACGTAGGTCTGTTTTGCTGGAAGAGGCTCTGAGAAGGCAAGTGATTTCTTTAATATCACATAGCCAGAAAGTATGAGAGCCAGGGTTTGAAGACAAGTTTGATCAGCTCTGGGCTTTACCCCTTGTAAATGGCCAGATGTCTGCTGAACCCTAGAGAATCCCTGAATACCTGGTTTAAACACCGTTTCCTGGACCCCTCCAGCAGGCCCCTGTCCAGAGAACGTCCCATTAGGCTACCCTCTTCACTTGCCTGTAGGGACAGTTGGCCAGCTGCGTGATTGTGATTATGGACTAATTGATGGCTGGCAGCAGCTGTGGAAATGGTTTGTTAACCCCTTGGTGAGAGACCTTCTTTTCAACACTCAGGCCCCAAGGCCAAGTGAAAAACCATCACCAGCAGAGAACAGAGCAATAAGAAAAGCAGCAGCCTCCTTCTCCCTCGCAGACCTCACCCTTAAAGACAGGGCTGGACACAGCCATTCCCCCAGGCCCAAGCCTTGAAGGCCCGTGGTGGCATTGCCAGCTACAGCCCCTTATTTCTCTGGCCTTAGGCATAGCATTTCCCACCTCAGCCTGAGACCACAAGCGCTATGGACCATTCCTGAGCTTCTGAGGCACTAGGAGAAGACCCACTCCTCGAGGCTGGGTTGTCCAAAGGTGACATGGGCTGGATGCAGGCAGCCAGGAGACCAGCCAGGAGGACCTATGCTCCCAAACGAACCAGAAGATGCCAGAGTGGCCCATGAAGGGTCTTGCCAAGCTTCCCTGAAGCCCCGGGCAATCCATCATGCCCCTGACCACTTTCCCCCCCAGCTTCCCAGAAGCCCCCTCTTCCCACCCTGAGGCTTCGTGAGCAACACCTCTCTCCTTTCCTGAGGAGGGGGGTGTTTCTCTGGGTACAATGGTGTCACGTTGGGAGGAAAAAGTGGCCGCTTCCAACCAGGGTACAGGCAGGCTGCCTTTCCAGGAGGGATTTTAAGCACTTTCCAAAAATGCAATGCGAAGCAATGCTGTTGTTGAAGACCAGGGCCCCAGGTGAGCCCAGAGCGTCAGCAAAGTACTCCAGATTCTGGGGTTCCTACCTCATTTTCCAGGCTTCCCCAGGCTCAGCCCCCGCCCCACAGTCATCCCAGGCTGTGCGCATCGCGGGCCCCCGCCCCCCAGACCTGGCACACGTCCCTACGTAGCGCTCGGCGGCCGGCCGGAACCCCCCCTCTCCGGCGTGGTCCCCTGACCGCAGCCCCCTCCCCACGCCCACTCGCAGACGCACAAGGCCTGCTGACTTACCCCGAGGTGGGGCCGGGGTCCACGCAGGGAGCGAGGCTCCGCTGGCAGAGTGGCTCCGCAAGGCGAGGCAGGTGCTGCCCCGGGACCCCGCCCCGCGGACCCGGCGGTAGGCGCGGCCCGGCCCCTGGCGGGCTCGGACTCCGAAGGGGTAGGGACGCGGGGCGGGGACGGGCAGCGACAGAGACTCACGGGGGCATCGCCCGCCACCGGGCCGGACAGCTCTGCTCCGCCTGCACTGCTGGCTCCGTAGCCGCCACAGTTCTCAGTCGCCGCCGAGTGCAAAGCCTGAGCCACGGCTGGCGGGAGGCGAAGAGGGCCCTGCCAGGGGCGGGGCCTCGCGCTGGTGGGAGGGATTAGTGGACGGGGCGGGGCTATGTGGGCGGGACCATGGTGGGCGGGGCCGTGGGAACCTGGACCTTCTAGGTCTATCCGTGCTGAGTAGGCCTGGAAGGGGTGAACCTCTAAGGAGCACCCTAAGAAGCAGGGGCTGGGGCCGCTCAAGTTGTTCCCTGTCCCTAAGATGCTACTCCTGTCCTCTGCCTGTTCACTCCTCTACACCATCTGTTACTCCTCATCCTTCCTTGTCTTTGAGGGTACCTCCCGGGTGCCCCCATCTACTCTGAGCCAGATCCAAGAACTTCAGGCAGTAAGCAATAAGGCTGAGCGACTTACAAACATAGAGTCCATTTTAAAGACCAGGATTTAAAAAAAATTTTAAAGGAAGCTCAGAGAGGAGAAGGGACTTGCTCAAATACCTGCTGTGAAAGACTTTCTGGGGCTAGAGAGAGATCAGTAGTTAAGAGAGCCTGCTGCTCTTAAGGGGGATCAGAGTTCAGTTCCCAACACCCACATCAGGCAATCCACAACCACCTGTAACTCCAGCTCCAAGGTATCTGATGCCCTTTTCTGGCCTCAGCAGGCACCAGCACACATGTGCGCACAGACACATGCACATACATACAAAGTAAAAATACATCCTTTTTTTTCTTAAAAGACTTTCCAATGTCCCTTTTGGACTTAGGGGAAGGGACTAGAGTATCAGGCCTTGTGACCTGTGCTAACTCCCTCCTCACCTGTGGCAGTGGTTTTCAATTTGGCTGATTTTGTCCTGGGTGGATTTTTTTTTTACAATATCTGCAGTTATCTTTAGTTTCCATGATCATGAGAGGCTTTCTTGATGGTTTCTGTTAAGAAGAAACCCTGGAACTGTACTGGCCAGTCTTGACACTGAGAGTTCTCCAACCCAAAGTATCAGCCTCCCCCCACAATATATGTATGCGGGTGTGTATACTATCACATTATACATATTATACGCATATATATATTATACACACATACACATATATAAAGAGAGGGTTATTAGAATGGCTTACAGGCTGAGGTCCAGCTATTCCAACAATGGCTGTCTACCAACAGAAAGTCCAAGAATTCCGTAGTGGTTCATTCCACGAGGCCAGATGTCTCAGCTGGTCTCCAGCATCTATCCAAATCCTGAAGAAGCAGGCTGTGATGCCAGCAAAGGAATTGGCTTGCTCTCGAGAGTGAAGGCAAGCAGGCACAGAGAGCAGCCTTCCTTCCTCCATGTCCTCTATGTAGGCTGCCATCAGTGGTGAATCTTCCTGCCCCAAAAAGATCCCAGTTAAAAGTGGGTCTTCCCACTTCACATGATTTAATTAAGAAAAAATTCCTCCCAGGTGTGCCTGGCCTCTTGAGTTTCAATTAATTCCAGATGTGGCCAAGTTGGCACCCAAGAAGAGCCATCACACAGGGCTTGGCGTCTGCCTCCATGAACTCAGGTGGGTGCCCTGATTTAAGCCTCGGAAGCTTAGGACCTGAGGGTACCTCTCCTGGGTCCTGCCTGCTCCCAACATGCTGTGCTTAAGTGAGCTTAGGACTAGCCATCTCTGCTCTCAGGCTGGAAGGGTTCTTTTGTTGACATTGTTTTGTTTTTTCTTTTTTCTTTTCTTTTTCTTCTCTCTCTCTCTCTCTCTCTCTCTCTCTCTCTCTCTCTCTCTCTCTCTCTCTCTCTCTCTCTCTCTCTCTCTCTCTCTCTCTCTCTTTGAGACAGGGTTTCTCTGTGTATCCCTGGCTGTCCTGGAACTCACTCTGTAGACCAGGCTGGCCTCAAACACAGAGATCCTCTTGCTTCTGCCTCCCAAGTGCTGGGATTAAAGGTGTGTGCCACCAGGCCTAGCTACTTCTGGGACATTCTTAATTTCACAAAATATGCATGATGAATGGGAAGGTGGAGAGAATCAGAGAAATGATTCAGATAAAGGGCCTCCCTCCCTCATCCCATTTCATACCTTCTCCACATGGTAAACTGAGGCCCAGCAATGTAAAAAGCCAAAAGCTGGGTCCCTCGGGTTGTCAGCTGAGATTCATGATTTTATTTGTTTATTAATGATAATGTTGAAAAAACGATAATATTGTTACCATCTAATCTAGGCCTAGAACTAGAGCCTGTGTGGTAGGCGGTCTGTTCCGGACGGAGCAAGCAAGAAAATTAGATTAAAGGAGGCAATGTGAGGGCCAGGGAAGTGTCTGGAACAATGATGGAGGTGAAAGATAGTGAATGCAGAGTTGTGAGAGTCAGAACACTTGAGGGGAGTCATGCTTCCTCTCTGCCCCCTGTCACAGAGAGGGACCCATAAGTCAGGAGCTGCCATTGGCATCACGGTCTCTTGTCCATGGTTGAAAACTTCCCTTTCTAAGGAAATATGCAAATATACATTTCCTGTATAATTTCAGGCCCTCCTATGTGTATGTTTGCAGAAGATTGAGGTGAGTTGACTCTTAAGTGCAAATAGAAGAAGTATGCAGAATTTGAAAAATAAGATTAGATTACATTAAGAACATGTTATGAGGTCCATGTTCTAACACAGTATGGCAGTGAAGCAGGACTAAACATCCCTGAAGCAAAATGGACTACAGAAATGGACCCACTGATGACTGTAGTTCACAAAGAAATTAAGCACTACATGAATCCCTAGAAGAGAGAAACTCCAAGTCTCAGAACACAGAGTAATGACAAGGAGATGGACTCATTCATTACCTTGACGTGCTCAGTACATATTGTACATGCATGCTGAACCAGCACACTGTCCTACATAAACAAACACAGTTAGCATCTGGTAACAAAATGTTTTAATGTTTAATGGAGAGGGAAATGCTAACTACCCTAATTTGATCATTGCACACTGTTTACATGCATTGAATTATGACTCTACATAAATCTGTACAATAACTAAATAAAATAGGCCTAGCCACACTGGGGAATTCCATGAAGATAGTGCTTCAGATATACTGGGGGGAGGGTTGGAGTAACTGGGCATGGTGTGCAAAGCCTGTAATCCTAGCACTCGGCAGACTGAGAGAAGGATCAACAGTTGGGAGGGTAGCCTGAGTCTCAAAAAAGCAAAGATGGGGAGATAGAGAAAAAATAATAGCCTCTCACTAAATGAGTGGAAGTACTGGCTAGTGTTTTGGGGAAACAGAAAAAAGCCACAACTTACACAGGCAAATAAACTTCAGGTGGTGCACATATATTATATAATAGCGCCATATGATACACCTGAAGAAAAACATGGGAGAATGTTTTGATCATCTGGAGACCAAAGACTTTCTCTAGGCTAAGAAACTGTAATGGAAAACACTGAGATGTTCGATATTATTCCTTACCAAAGAATTTCAACAAATCACAAACTGGAGGAGATAAATGCTCGACACGGCCTGTCTCTCTGACCCGCTGTCTCCTCTCCCAAGCCTAGGAGGAAAACACAAGAAGGGCCTGTGAGAGTCCATACCAGGCACAGCACATCATGGAGACTCTTCCTAAGGCATCCCGGCCAGCGCCCACCTGTTCTAGGACTGGGAAGCCCCGGAAACCCCAGCTCTGCCATCTGGGTCCTCAGCAGGTGACAAGGCTAAGCCAGAGTCCGCCTGCAGACTGCTCACTACTTCCCTCATGTGGCCATTCTGGGAACTGCAGAATTCAGTTCAGGCTACTTCACGTAGTGTCTCTTCCTTCCTTCCTTCCTTCCTTCCTTCCTCTTTCTTTCTTTCATTTTTCTTTCTCTCTTTTTTTCTTTCCTTTTTCTTTCGTTCTTTCTCTCTTTCCTCCTCCTCCTCTTCCTCCTCCTCCTCCCTTTTTATTTTTTTGAGACAGGATTTGTCTGTGGCTTTGGAGGCTGTCCTGAAGCTGCTCTTGTAGACCAGGCTAGTCTGGAAATCACTGAGATCCTCCTGCCTCTGCCTCCTGAGTGCTAGGATTAAAGGCTCGTGCCACCACTGCCTGGCCTGTTCTTTTTTTGTTTGCTTGCTTTTGTTTTTTTCAAGACAGAGTTTCTCCGTGTAGCCCTGGGTGCCCTGGAACTCGCTGTGTAGACTAGGCTAGCCTCGAACTCATGGAGATCTGCTTGCTTCTGCCTCTCAAGTGCTGGGATTAAAGGTGTGAGCCACCACTAAGCCCAAGGAGGTTTTTCTTAAAAACAATAGCTTTTCCCCTTAATTGCCTCTCACCCGGTTGCTGTGTTTGTGCATGTGTGTAGGTGTGCTCACATCTGTGGCAGTCAGAGGACACCTGATGGGGGAAGCCCTTCTGTGTATATGTAAATAAAGCACTTTTGGCCAATAGGGAAGCAAGATAGGTGAGACTAGGAGTCGAGGAGGGTAGGTGGGGCAGTGGTGGTGCACGCCTTTAATCCCAGCACTCTGGAGGCAGAGGCAGGAGAATCTCTGTGAGTTCCAGACCAGCCTGGTCTATAAGAGCTAGTTCCAGAACAACCTCCAAAGCCACAGAGAAAGCCTGTCTTGAAAAAAGAAAAAAAAAAGTTCGTGTAAATTCCAGGGATTGAACTCAAATGACCAAGCTTATGAAGTAAGTACCTTTACCTGCTGAGTCATATCTTGGACCCCAGGGTTTCATTCATTAAAAAAAAACAAATTAAAAAAACTACAGTGTGTGTCTGTCTGTGTATATGCATGTGGGATGAGAGTGAGGGGTTAAAAGATGTTGGTGTTCTAGCTGGGTACACGACGTTATTCCCAGCACTCGGGAGGTAGAGGCAGGTGGATCTCTGTGAGTTTGAGACCAGCCTGGTCTACAGAGCAAGTACCAGGACAGGTTTCAAAGCTACACAGAGAAACCCTGTCTTGAAAATACAAAAAGAACAACAACAAAAAGATGTTGGTTCTCACGTAACATGTAGGTCCCAGGGACTGAACTCAGGTCAGAACTGGCTGCCACTGCCTTTACCTCCTGAGGCCTTTCACTAGTCCCCACGGTTTTATTTTTAAGTGACCTGCAAACCTC